CATTATATGTATTTAGCTTCATCTTCATCAAATAATTTCACTCCAAATAATCAAGTTACCGTAAAAATGACCATCTCAGGTAATGGAACCACAGTAGGCACTACGAAAGGCAAATACCCTATACTGAAATGAAGCTGACTATCATTTTAATGAGTTACCATGCATAAGTTGGATTGCAGTACAAACTGAGAAAAAAGCTTAAAGAGTGGTCGTATATACATTCCAGAACTGAATGGTGTACTTTTATTACGTTTCATTTTTCAGAATACTTTACAAAAAGAAAGAGATTTGACACGTTCGCTCCTCTAAAATGTAGTTGTAAAAGATATATTATAAATCTTAAATTCTTAACGTATTTCAGATTAGAAACTGCTCCGTCATAGCGGACAAAAAATTTAAACATTATTTCTTATAAAAAAAATTAAAAATACCCAATACACCAAGATCTCATTAAAACAGTTATGCTGAAAACATAAGTAAATATTATTGTTTCATTATATCGTAGCATTAAAAAGAAATAAAAGGTACATTTTGGAGTATGATACTCCGGCGCCGTTTTCAATAGCTTTTACTCTTAGCGTTGTTGGACTTCAAACAGAAGTTAAGTTACCCGCAAATGATATATCCATTGCATGAAGTAGGTAATTTTCTTTGATATAGCGAAACATATGAGTAAAAAATTAATTGTGAGGATTTCCTAGTGTATCTATGCAAAATAGCACGCTCCGTCACAGCGGACAATTTTTTCGATACCAGCCTGTGATTGTAAATCTATTTTGATCCAAACTAAACTTAAATAAGAAATAAGTGACATAGTCTTGCAGACTTACAACTTGTACATGAAGGTTTGACTTGGGCTGTGATTTTAGGGTGTTTGACGCATCTTGGTGTATTGGTTTTCAGTACAATGCGCGTCGGTTATTGGTTTTCAGTACAATGCGCATCGGTATAATGCGTGTCGGTATAATGAGGTGATCCCATTTTTTATATTCTAACCATTTAGTCAGGAGAATGGAGATGTAATCGAGTTTCATATGTATGTATGTTACAACAGTATATAGGCCTATAATATCAAACTGCAAAAGATAGCTTATTGATACAATGGCTGGCATAACTTTCATATATTAGACTAAAAGTACGTGCTATTTCCAATTAAATAAGAATGAAAAATTCAAACTGAAATTGAATAGACCTAAGCTCACCCTATGCAGACAGAGCATGTGGGAAATATTTGGACGGCAGAAATGAGCGTCTGGTGCGGATGCAACGGTCATCCCTGACCTATATTTAGACCATGTCACTAACAGTTGACGTGGTCCAAGTACTCTAACAACACAAAATATCATAATATCCTCAAACGATAAAGTTCAGGCCCGTAGCCAGGGGGGGGCTCTGGGGGCTCGGACGAGCCCCCCCCCTGATATCTCCTGGAAAAAATATGGACCTACCTTTTTGCTTCCTTGAAGAAAAACTTGCTCTTCCCCACATTCACTGGGCAATTAAGATTTTAAAACTGGCATTACTGTGCATTGTTTTTCGAATTTGGGCATTATTTTTCAAAAGTTGGCCCAATTTTTTTGATGGACATATTTGTGCCCCTTCCCCAATTTTGGTTTTAGGGCCCTAAAAATTTTTACGTGCAGCCCTAGGATAGGCCCAGAAAAAAAATGTTGGACCAAAAATATTGTAGGGCCTCTTTAATTGAAAGCCCATGGTTGGGTTTTACTTTTTTGGGCCTTATTTTTTCAATTTTAGGCTAAATTTTCAAAAACGGGCCATAAATCTTCAAAATATAGGCCCAAATTTGGGTTATAGGGCCCTAAAAAGAGTTCCACGCAGCCATAGGATGGGCCCAGAAAAAGGTGTTGGCCCAAAAATATTGTAGGGCCTTTTTAGTGGGCCTCTTTGGGCATTAATTGACCTTTTAGGGCTTTATTTTTGTTTTCGATTTAAGGCCAAATTTTCAAAAGATGGGCCATAAAGTTTTAGGGCCCTTAAATTTTACGTTCGGCCCTAGGATGGGCCCATTGTTTATTGAGCTCTGCCGCACCAAATATTTAAGCTCATAGCGAATTTTTATAAAATCACACAGAAACTGTCAAAAAACAACAATTTTAAAATATATAGGTGGGGGATAGGTTTATGCATACTGTGTTGCTATACAATGAATTACAGTACTATTTTCACAATCTTTTTAGGTGTTAACTACACATATATGGGTACTATATACTAGTAAAAAGTTAAAAAAGGGCACGGATATTAGTATATTTGAAGTCCCAAAATGGCTTAGTTTCAGAACTATCCCAAATTTTAATTCAAAAATGACCATTGCCTCCACACCAAACGCTCATTCCTGCCGAACCAAATATTTCCCATACACTCCGTCTGCATAGGGTTTACTCACTTCGAGAGCCATGTTAGATTTTGAAACTTATGGCTCTCAAACGGAGAAGTGAACAGCTGATCAATAGTGACCTTTGAAATTGAATTAAGTCGATCCGCGGCTTACTTTTGGTCTCTAACTGTGTCTTACATCAGTATCATCAATCCGTGTAAGTATTGGAGCGCTGGAGTACTTCTTTTTCGATCAAGACTTGTAAATTGTTCATCGAGTTAAAGTTTTACAGACCTATTTCCAATATGGCGGTTTGCTAGGTGCGAGATACGCAACGAACGAAATGAATTTTGAGAATTAGTTAGGTTCGGACAACCTCCGGAGATTTACGAAAATGTCCGAGCAGAAACCGCCATATTGGAATTTGGCAGTAAAACGATTCAATCGACTAACAATTACAAGTCTTGATCGAAAAAGAAGTACTCCAGCGCTCCAATACTTACACGGATTGATGATACACTGATGTAAGACACAGTTAGAGACCAAAAGTAAGCCGCGGATCGACTTAATTCGATTTCAAAGGTCACGATCATTGAGCTGTCCAAATGCTCCGTGGGAAAGCTATTATATCAAAATCCAAATAGCTTTCGCAGGAAGTAACATAGGGTGAAGCTTAGACTAAATCTACATGTACAGTAAAATTTTAAATGTTTTGAAGTACTTTGAATTTAGAAAATACGGAGTGGCTCCAGGACCGACAATTGTCGGTACTGGAGACTGTCCAGGGGTATTTGCTGGGGTACCGACAATTGTCGGCACTCTATCGTCACCTAGTAGTGCCAGATAGAGAACCGACAATTGTCGGTACGCAAGTGGCTGCTACGTGTTTTTGCTAGAGAGCCGACAATTTCATAAATAAAGGCACGACTTTTACATAACAAATAACTTCATCACTGGTAGTCTAGTGGTTAGCAAGCACGACTCAAACACACTCGGTCCCGAGTTCGAATCCCGACAGGACCAATTTTTTTCTTTTGAGGGGGGGGGCATAGTGCTTCTTTTGCAGTATGGAATCGTACAGGCATTAACTTGTAGTGAGCCATAATTTATTTCGACAAAAAATGCTTCAACTTCCATCAAAATTGTCCTACAAGCTTCAATTAAAAAACATTTAAAGCTCTTTTCTTGTTCTATCTAATGGGTCGATATATACAGTTAGGGGAGGGGATGCTTTCGCCCCCATCGACCTCTACCCTTACTACGCCATGGCACAGGAGAAATATCTCATTTGGAATATATCACTGTTTACTTTGCGTTTGGTAGCTCTCTCATGCGAGATGGAATCGTGGCCATTAACTAAGGGAGCCAAATGCAACTTCCATCAAAAATTGTGCTATAAGATATGAGTACCGTAATCCAACACCAAATTCGAAAATTCATAACAATACTTTGCACATATGGCGTTCGTGACCAACTATGAAACGCTTACCCCCCATAGTGTTATATATCAAAATGCACCTGTCCATATAGGGGTTCGATTGGCCAATATCAAATTATAGGGAGTCAGGTTACTTTTTGAGATATCAGCGTCCGTTTATTGTAACTCGCGTTTGCTACCACTTCCTCAATTCTGATATGACGGGCAAACGCGTAGTAAACATGCTCACGTTCGGAACTATTTTGACCTACATCGCTATTTTCGTAATTCAAATGAAAGTTGAACTCCTCTTTATTTTGATACCAAATAGTGGCATCAGTACTAGGTACCCTAGAAGCCAACTATGAGTTATTTAGAACGATACCACAGGTTTTTAAATGGACTATATACCTTTTGGCGGATGGATATGGAACCTCATACCATACGATAAGCTTCAAACAAAAAACATTCTAGCTATTTTCTTCTATCTAATGGGTAGCAAACGCCCCTTTCTACGCCTGATCGTCTCAGGAGAAATATCCTGTCTGTTTAGAATATATATAGCCGTTTACTCTGCATTAATAGCTCTCTAACGTCTTACTTGTTCATGTTTTTTATTGGGTTTGTTCCCGGGCTACCATTTTTTGACTGGGTTTGGTAATCCCCGGGTAACCGGGGCTAATGCCCTCCCCGGGTTTTGCACTTGTTCCCAAAATATCCGTATGATATCTGAAATATCCCCCGCGCATTGCGCATGCGCCAGAAAATTCGAAAATCATTATTGTCGGTCCTCTAGCGTGTAAACACAGCATATCTCCCGTACCGACAGTTTATTTGTCGGTCCTCTAGCGTGCCACCACATCAGAGTCTAGAGTACCGACAATTGTCGGTAATCTAGCCTTTACGTAAAAAATAAGCAATCAAATGACTATATTGCAAAAGAGAAAAACAAGAAAATTCAGTGAAAAAATTCTGAAAATTTTCAGAAAATGAGAAATTCTTTTCACTGAATTTTCTCGTTTTTTATACATTTTACAAGACAAATCTTCTCTAACAAATGTGTGGAAGGAGTGATTCCTGTTTGAAAAATAAGTACAGCTGCAGCAACTGAGATCCCGCGGGTGTTTTATGTACCGATCTCAGTGGCTACAGATGTACCTTACTCGTATTTTCAATTTTGTTTTCGAAAAAAGAAAATAGATCTATGCAGATAATGAGATAGAGGTACAACTACAGTAACGGCCATACTTTTGTTAACTGTGCAATCTTTTTTGACATCTTAAGATGCATATCTTGTGTAATATCCATGTCTTTTCCCATGTTTTGTGACAAGGTTCCATAATTTCCGTTCTTGTAATGGTTGTGAGACATTTTGGCACTGGCTGCCATGTTGGTTCTCCGCGGAAGCCTTGTCACACTGTCAAATGTGAAAACGGTTCATAACTACTCAGTATTCCTCACAAAATAATATTATCATAAATTCATGAATAATCACTTTTATATTACTTCGAATTTATTGGATTCTATTGAATAATTGAATGACAGAAGGAAAGAATTAAATTCATCAAATTTAGAATTACTCCGCGGAGTCCCGTTGCTAGAACAACATAAGTAAGTTCCTACTTGTTAGAATAGAATGTTTTCAGGCAGACTTCAAGTACATTTAGACAGGGCTGTCAACTTGGGACCATCTAACATGCGTGACTTCCAAATGTTGAACACCTTCCCTTCAAACTTTGGACAGCTTCAGTGAAAACTGGTAGATTTTGGACACCTAATTTTTTTCCAGCTCGCTATTCAAGTCCGTCAAGGGGGGGAGGGAGGGGGGGAGGTGTAAATTTTTTTCGAAGCGATTGCGTGATATATACACATATTTTGTACAAAATGCGTGACATAAACGGCAATCGCGTGCAAAGACCGAACGGAATGCGTTCGCTTTTTTTCGCCGTTCGGTATTTTACCGTGTCGCGATTTCACAAAAACAATTTTTAAAAATTTCAGCAAAATGCGTGATTTCCGTTCGGTATTTTACCGTGTCGCGATTTCACAAAAAACAATTTTTAAAAATTTCAGCAAAATGCGTGATTTGCGTGATATTTGATCATACACGCTAAATTGATGCGTGATTTCTATTTTTCCAGCAAGTTGACAATCACGCCTAATGCGAGAGGGTTGACAGGGCAGTTTAGGCAAAACAGCAGAGTTTCAGATCCTCAACAATACCATGGGCTTTATGAGTTTTTACTCCGTTTTTACTAGTATTTTCAAAAAATTACTTGTAATTGAAAGTAAATAACTTGTGCGAAAACTCCAAGGCCTGTACAGAGGACCCCCTTGGTTTAGGCCTTCAACTTCCTACTGACTCCCTGGACTGACACTTGCTGGCATTGACCTTTTTACTAGGAATTTTTCCATTTACATTTATAAACATCAATATTATTGGGAATGTACTAAAAACCCTTCGACCTATGACCCTTCGACCCTACGACTTACTGGGTGTCAAGAATTTTTGGAACATATTTTTCTGAAAAACCCTTCGACCTCTGATTTCCCAGTCCAGTTTTCTAAATGATTATGTATAGTTCCAACTTGAGCTCCCCGTAGGATTTAATCTACCTAATCGGAAAATGTTTTGTACGTACTCTTTCAATAGAAACATAGTTGGTACCCAGTCCTCTTGTTACCAACCCCACACACATTACAAATATGATGGTTATTAGACTTAGCCGAAATCGTGAGAACTCTAGAATCTCTGGTCATAAAAAGGAAATGTGTCCTTATTGGGAATGTACTAAAAACCCTTCGACCTATGACCCTTCGACCCTACGACTTACTGGGTGTCAAGAATTTTTGGAACATATTTTTCTGAAAAACCCTTCGACCTCTGATTTCCCAGTCCAGTTTTCTAAATGATTATGTATAGTTCCAACTTGAGCTCCCCGTAGGATTTAATCTACCTAATCGGAAAATGTTTTGTACGTACTCTTTCAATGGAAACATAGTAGACCGGGTGCTTTTCTGCAAAAGGTCTCTCTGTAAAATGTGGTAGGCGTTTAGTGTTAAAAGTGTTCTGACAAATGTTTCTTATGTAACTTTTTATGCTGAATCCAAAAAAACATGTTGGCAAGCTGAAATATGATTATTTAACCTTTAAAATACCATGTTAGTCCCCCTACCCCCAAAATTCACCCCTATCAGGGGGAAAAAATTCTTCAACTTAAAATAACTTTGATTTTATGGTTTTTGTAAGTGAAATACATGGACATTGTATAAAATAAACATTTGAAGTATGAATGATACGGATTACCCTTAAGAAATTTGAATAAAAGCAAAAAGTATGTACCCCAGGGGGCAAATTTATGACCCATTTTTTACTTTTCGTGTCATAACTTTTTTATTAGACAATGATGGATGCTAAAAAAATCCATGTAAAAGGCATAATACCTGGTCTACTAATCCTGCAAGAATCAAAGTAATTCCTTTGATAATTGCCTTGAAAAAAATTAGTGAATTTAAGAAAAAATGACATTTTAGCTGGGACTGATTTTATGTGTGACTATAACTGACCCCTATTGCTTTAACATTTATCCCTCTGTGTTCATATATTTAGCATTTTAGAATAAATCTAAAATATAAAACTTATTTAGCAAAGTTTTATGAAGATTTAAGCTTTTTATCATGTTCAACTATTAAAAATTCATGAAATATGATGTCTAAAATTGATAAGTTATATGTATACCCTTGGAAGACCCTTATAATTTCTTATTTATGAACATATTTGTACCAATATTAGTTTTCTAGCTTAGAGAAATGATGTATGATATATCCTGGCTTGGCTTTCTTGTGGTTTGAACAATCTTTTAAGTGTTATCATTGAAAATTCATTCTTAAATCATAGGTCTGCAATCGATTAAATTCATGTATACCATTAGTATCATTCTACTGGTATGAGCATAATTGAACTAGCTATGCTTTCATAGATTAGTTGTTTGATATATGACATATTCCAAGCTGACTTTCTGGTGATTTTAACCATCTAAGAGGCTTAATCATTGAAAACCATTATAAACAAAGGCCTAAACGGACAGTATTAAGGTAGACTATTAGAACACCCTTATTAATTCCAGGGTTAGAGTATATTGGTACCTACTACTGTCTCATAGCTCGGAGGTTTGATATATGACATATTCTGACTAGTTTTTCTGCAGATTTGAACCACCTAACAGGTCTAATCATTGAATATACTTAATATACTAGGTCTAAAATTGAAGTATCCAATAGAACCCTCTATGATAAATTCAAAAAAGATTCAGAATGACATTAACCTCAACACTGGATCTGAATCAGGATTACTATTCTTCATAGAGCTGAACTAGGAAGACAAGGCTAATTTCATTCTAAGCAGCCTGACAATTGCATGACGTGAGAGCAAAAGTACCAATGATTCATACAAATCATCATTTTATGGAGTTTTCTGAACAATGTTAAGTCATATTAAAAAATCCCCCCCCCCCCCCAATTGTCCCCATTAACCATTTTTTTGTTACTCTTGGAGTTAAGGCAGAAATTCTTGACAAATGGCGTATACTCACTTTGACAACATTTTGAATAAGTGGGATGTTTCAGTTAATGAGAGTTTTTGCAGAGTAGCAATTTTTGAAATTTAAATCCAATAGGACCATATATGGGAAATTCAAAAAAGATTCAGAATGACATTAACCACAACATTGGATCTGGAAATCAAATAAAGCAACTGATTGATGTGATCTCGGATGACTCTTGTAAATCAGAATTACAATCCTTCATAGAGCTGAACAAGGAAGACAAGGATTACTTTTCATTCTGGTAGTAATACATGGACATGGTCCAAATCTTGATACGCTTCACCATAGCCCAAAGAAAGGGAAATTGGGAGCTTCATCTCAATGTATTTCAATGCATGATCCCCTTTTTCATGAGATATGACCACCAAAAGTATGTAAGATGGGGCACAGTACACTTCACCGCTGAAGTTTTGCTTCCTTGAAGACTGTAGCCAAATCCTCAGACGTAGATGCAATTGATGCTAATTTGTAAGAAGGATCATATATTGGAAATATTACGGTTGGCATTTCAATACCATTTCTTAAACAGTTAAGGAGTAGAGTACATTTGAGTTGGCTTGAATGTTTCATTCGTCAATGAGAGGGCTATTGGAAAGGCTCATGTTTCATGATTTCATTGATGCCCACAGGTCTGTGGTTAGCTTCAGGCTATCAATTTTTTCAATTTTTCTTCAACATGTATTGTTATGACTTCAGTATGAATGAAATGTCCCTTGGTGTTCTGGTCCTGGATTGTGATATTGGTTCTCCATTGGAGGGGGGAGGGGGATGTTAGACATTGTTTCTTTTCACGTTAGATTATGGTTTTGGGATATATAGGGTCTACTTTTCTTATGACAGATTTGCACTTGCGGTTTGCTTTTCTTGTTGGGTTTCTTTAATGTTTTTAGTCACCCTTCCCTTTGGCATTTGTGCTTATATATCCATAGATTCTTGTTTTGATTTGCAAATTACCACCCCCTCCCCTCTATGGAATCTCAAAACGCAAGTCCAAACATCATTCTTGTTTGGACTCCCCATGTGTGACCTAAGATTATACCCCAGTGCCCATCTGTTCAATGCAGATATTGTCTTTGTGTTATGCCTACAATTCTGCTTCCCTTCTAACCAATACCATACTGGCATAGGGGTCAATCAACTTGGTTGATTGAATTTGTAGAGCCTTTCACCACATAGTTCAATGCAAGAATCCTTGCTCAACTGCAGCAGGTACTATATTCTAATAGTTAGTGCATTTCCTCTAAGTTTACTGTGCCACACCTTCCATAATTTTGGTGGTCATGAAATAAGGGATCGTGCATTGAAATGCATTGAAGTGAAGCTCCTAATTTCCCTTTCTTTGGGCTTGGATGAAGTATAGCAAGATTTGGACCAGGTCCATGTATCAACACCAGAATGAAGTTAGCCTTGTCTTCCCTGTTCAGCTCTATGAAGGATTTTACTAATCTATGAAATCATAGCTTGTTCAAGTTGATTATTTTGGTCAATCTTGCATATTTTGCTTTAATATTTCAGAATTATTTACTTCATTTAATGTGAATTTTGTTGTGAACATTTAATGATAATCTGCTTATAAAGTAAAAAACTACAGCATTTTACAACACATGCCCCATGTGGCCACCACTCCAGCCAACGAAGCTGTTGATGACTCTCCTACACATAGCCTATCCACTTAAAATTGAAGAACATCTGAGAATTTGTCTGACACAAGTTTTACTTCTCTAGATAGATTTTAGTCACGCCATGGACAATTGAACAACTTCCTTTGCCAGATTTGATTGTGCATGTAGAGGAGAAGTGGCCACATTGGACATATGTTGTAAAGTGCTGTAGTTTTACAAACAGGCATATTATCATGAAACTTTCACAACAAAACTCATATTGAATGAACTGAATAATTCTGAAGTTTTGAGGCAGAATATGCAGGATTGACAAAGTAAATTAACTTTTTTTCGGTCCTGTTTTTTGGACACCCTGTACCAGTAGAATGATACTAGGCTAATGGTATACTTGAATTTAATCGATTGCAGACCTATGATTTAAGAATGAATTTTCAATGATAACACCTAAGATTGTTCAAACCACCAGAAAGCCAAGCCAGGATATATCATACATTATTTGTCTAAGCTAGAAAACTAATATTTTATACAATGTCCATGTATTTCACTTACAAAAACCATAAAATCAAAGTTATTTTAGGTTAACGAATTTTTTCCCCCTGTTAGGGGTGAATTTTGGGGGTAGGGGGACTAACATGGTATTTTAAGGGTTAAATAATCATATTTCAGCTTGCCAACATGGTTTTTTGGATTCAGCATAAAAAGTTACATAAGAAACACTTGTCAGAACACTTTTAACACTAAACGCCTACCACATTTCCTCTAGATGAAAATGCACCTTGTCTATAGTTGGTACCCAGTCCTCTTGTTACCAACCCCACACACATTACAAATATGATGGTTATTAGACTTAGCCGAAATCGTGAGAACTCTAGAATCTCTGGTCATAAAAGGAAATGTAACTATGACGATAAGGAAGGT